CCAGTCATTCGAATCACAATACGATTGAGATGATAATAATAATACGTGATTCTACGGTACACCGATACGATGCACGGACATGAAAACAATATTTAATCCTTTATACTTCGTATACAGAATGAATCAACGCATTGCGCACAAATTATTACTGTCATTAGGCTTACAAATTTGATAGACACTTAAAGAAAAGAGAGCCGAAAGAATTTATTATATTCTGATATTTTTATATTTATTCTATTAGGCATACTTCTATTAATCGGTTGAACATAGAAAGAATGATATTTCATGCAATATCAGTCGGGAACAAGTGATGAACGAGAAAATTTCTAAAACTCTTGAAAAACAAGCTACAAAAAGAAATAAGATCAGACATCAACGTATATGCAATATATACATTAATCTAAATCTGGATTATCCTGCTTATAAATTGATATCAAAGATCTCAAAATATAGCATTATAGCTTCATTACTGCTTTTAATTGTTACATATACATTTGTATATCTTGCTTACAACGCAAATGCGAGTAAATTTTAATTTAATCGCTTCGATTGCGCCTTATGCGATTGTCCATGTCAATTTTATCACACCTGATGAATAAATTCAATTGAATCGTGAAGCATCTTTGCCGATGCACTCCTCTTTATCACCTCTTTAACATGACAGCTATGATTACGATTACGATTCGACGACGAATCGTCATTGAGATGGCCGGAGTAACAAAAACCCCGTGAACGAACGAGGCGTCTTCACTCTCTTCTCCACCTCCGCGGGGATGATAGCAAAAGCGCGACGGATCGGCAAGATGCGTAACCTACAACACGCTCATGGAGGTGTTCGACCGTAAGAGACGATATAAGGCCCTCGTGATGGCGGTGCGGCCTCAGTTTGTCGACAGGTGCCTCGCGGAAGAGGTGCTCACACCCGCACGCGCTCCTCCGTGCCTCGGTCTATATAATTAAACCTTGTTTTTTTTATCTCGTGCCGTCTCTCCTCCCTTCAACCGACGATTACGTATATCGCGCGGCACATGGTCACACTCGCGAATTCAGCCCCGTCTCGACAGTGAAACTTTTGCACGCGCTTACTTCGCACCGGGAGGATTTCGCAACGACAGAAGCACGCGAAAAGTAACACACAGTGAGTAACTATAGCATGGTTTTACGTGCGTCGCGTGCCGATACTGCCAATTATTGTTACCGAAGTTGCGCAACTCTTTATTTATCAAAGGTATTTCGTTTGATTTGCGTTTCATAAATTAATGACCATCAACATACACATTCCTCGCAAGTCATAATTGCAATTATAAATGTTTGTTCATATCTGTATTTTTTTATATTTGCAAGTTACGAGAACATACTTGGCGAGTATCAATATTGTATCTTTTTAACAAGATACAATGTTAATACAAAATGAAGTAAATGAATGTGTGCGATATTACGTTTCGATTTGTCACAATGAGATTCGAGTTATGCGGATAAATGGTGAATTATTCTCGGATATATTATTAATACGTTGAACGTATGCGAATGCCGTGACTATCATCGTGATACAAACTATTTCTGTTTTATTTATGCACGTGTAACATGCATAATAAAAAGTAAATTAAATAAATTAATAAATATACATGAAAAAAGTTGCGTTTGCAGTCGGAGATTTACATTTTTACGGACCTAAGGTTAATGTTTTTATGTAAAGGTCTGCTTAAATAAGTAAATTCACTAAAGTTAATTTCGATTTATAGACATATAAAAAATTTTTTTAAATTTTCTTTTTTATTGGCAAAATCAGTACAAAGCGCATTAATATTAAACATCACGTTTCAAAAATAAAAATCCATACAAAAAAATAAAATCAACGTAAAAATGTTTCATTTGTGATGTAAAAAGAAAATAGTAGGAGCATTGTAATTTAAAAAACAATATGGCATTTCCCGTGAAGCCCTAAAACTTTAATTTTCATCAGTGTAAAACCTCATTTTTAATTCATACACATAATAAATATATATGACAAAAAATTAAACACCAATATCGTATATAAATATGATTTTTAACGTACACTGAATTGCGTACAGTTAAAAATAAGTAACAAAAACAAAATACGAGCATGAATAAATTTCTGATCTAATCTTATATATTCATTATCGTATCATATTAATAACATAATACTGACACTTAATTATGTCTAGTATTATACAATTAATATCCTAAAAATTCCATTTACAATATTGACTATTTATACATATAATATATCCACATAATTAATTTTACTATAATTTATCTCTTATCTCATATGTCAAGAAATAATTTTTTGTTTATTTTAATCAGTTTCTTATTTATCATAAAAATATATAAATTAATTTTTTTGTAATTTTAAAAAAAGAAAAAATTTAATGGAATTTGTACATTAAATTTGTTGCATTGTGAATATATCCAGTGCTTCATACACGTAGCTTATCATTTTCATCATATTAATTTTATATGAGTGTGTTACAAGCACTATTAACATCCTTACACGGAAAGAACAATTTTGCTGAATCCAGATCTGAAAATAATTTTTGTTCAATAATCAAAATAATTTCGTGCAAAAGTTAAAATGATTGCTAAAACATCAAAACGTTTTATAGCAATGTTTATCAGTTTTAACATTTCAACAAATTATTTTGATAATTCAACAAAAAATTATTTTCAGATCTGTTTTGAGCAAAATTTTTAGGTCTTTCAACAAACTCGTTCTTATATCAATCATTTCAAAGTAGAAAAAAAGTAATCAAAAACATCAACTGATGTTAAAAAAGTTAAAAAAAAACATTAATACATATTTTAAAAGTCCTTTCTTAATTCTTATTTCTTAATTCCTAAATATCTTCAAGCTAATAAATATTAATAATTTATTCGTTTTTTATATTACTCGATGAATAATTCGATTCATTCAATACGTCGCTAATTAAGTTCTTAACAATTAAATACTTAAATATAATTAATAATTATATTTAAATATAATTTAAATTTAATTATAGTTATTAAATAATTAATAATTATACTTAATTATTTTAGAAATCACACGTAAAACTTCTCCCAAATCAGAGAGATATTTTAAAGTTTTCTAAAAAAAAAAAACAACTTTTGTGTATCTAATACATGTAATAAAAAATTTATATTTTTACAACATAATACACACATATTATGTATATTATACGTATATCATATACGAATAAATTATACATCTGATTATGATTCGTAATATTTAAATTGAATAATTAAATTATTATTCAGTTAAGATCCTAATCGACCCAAAAATTAAATGTACTCTTTCGTCTCAAGATTGACTTTCAATCTTGGAAAGACCGGCGTAGTTTGTTCCGGACGCCAACACAGAACTCGTTCGTCCTTCATAAATTTTTTCTCTTCGAGACATTAGCGCGCTTGAGAAAATATTTTTCTTCGTTCCTTTAAGGTCGGGCGAATTCCTTCGCTCGGACATAAAAAACGTCGCGCATAATTAAAAGCGAATTAAGATAAGTGTATCCGCACAGATATACGCACGCACACTTGTCAAGTTATCGAGGGCGCATGCCGCAACCGCTCAAAGGCGTCGCACGGCCTTATACTTTCGTTATCAAATAAATAAACGGAGAGAGGATGCACCTGACTTGTCAAGCAAATGGCAGTCTTAAGAGTGCGCGATTCGAAATTACATCACGAGTCGGGCGTCGCGGAACTGTTTTATACATCGCATCGTCCGTTATTCCTCTCTCTTCGCGCGCGCGTCAAAGTTCGCGTTATTGTTCGGAGGAAGAAAAAAAACAAAACGCGAAACGATTTTATGAAATGCGAGTTCGAGAAAAAACGTTAAAAAAAAACTCCTCGCATGAATGACGACGAAGAAGGAAAAAGTCCCCGGTCGACACGTGTGCGTAGGGGAAGGATGCGGTGGCATCGATGACGATGTCACGGAAATTCCACGGTGATTACCGTACTTTTCGAAATGATTTACGACCGTGTTTCGAAACATACGTTTGCAAATTCTACGTTACGCGTCCCGCGGACTCGGCGACGAGATAGAAATTATTCGTATACAATCGAATATAGACGGTTTTAGTATAATTGCCCAGAAAATTGGCTGTAAACGTTAGATCGCGGAAAGCGTGCCAAGAGAGAGAGAGAGAGAGACGTTTTGCGAATTAAAGTACTTTAACGACAAGCGGATTTAACGCGGTGCCATTTCTTATACAGTGGCGATATACACTTATACAACGTAAGAAGGGCAACCTGTAATCAAGGAAATTCGTTAATATTACACTCGCGAAAGAAAGTGAGATCGTAAGTCACAAGAAAATCGCTCTACATCGTGAGACGTGATTACACAAAAACTGTTATAGTGTTCCGATTGCTTCTGAGCGCATGTCACCGCGCGACTTTGTGTAACACACACAATCCCTTGATCGATAATATGCATACTTTTACGAGATGGAAGATAGGAGGAGGGAAAAAAATCATCCGCGCTCATATGATCGATTGCATATGAATATCGTAACATCTCGAGAGAAAATGAAAGGCTCGTTTTTCTCGCGGAGATTATGCTTGATGCATCGAGCACCCTAGCGTGTGTGTGATTGAAGATAAGTTCCCTTGACGTGCCGCGCACCGACACGTGTCTAATCGCAAATGTTAAACAGTTAAATGTTTAAAAATACATTCGGGATTAATCGCAGTATAGTCACCGCGCGCTACAGGTGCAGCAAATTGCCTCCGTTAACGCGACGGAGCGGAGGAGCGAACAGGATAACGAGACGAGTATCGTACGACTGCAGGGAATGCGCGTGTGAGGGACCGCATTTTTCCGCGGCGAGAACGAGTTCTCAGAGTCTCGCATGCGGTCTCTAACGAGACGGCTATTTTTCCTTTCTTTCACGCGCGGGTTGCGAAATCCGCGTGCGTTCTTGAGCGAGTCGCGTGACGCCGCCCGCCGCCGCCTGGACCGCCCGTAATTCATTTTTCGGTCGGGATAATGGGTGCCGTTTTTTTCGCAGAAATCGCGAGTCGCGAAATCGACCGAGAACGCGGACAATGTCGTGTTTCGCGCCTGACGCCCCGCCCCTCTCTATTACCGACCTCGATCGAGAGATCGAGAGCGCGGCGATCCGAAAGAAGAGCACCGCCAAATTGGTCACGAGACCAGGAAGTATGCTGTGTTATTTGCAAAACCTGACAAATCGAATCGGCAAAAGGGAATCAGATCGACTGGTTTTGAAATAAATCGGCACCTAGTACGATCGGAATCTTCTCACAGAAATGTTAGATCGCAAAAACGTGAATTTCCAGTTTGCGAGATATTTAGCAATTTTCATGTCCCAGCTTTCTTTATTCAATCTAGTTTACAATGAAGTCGCAACAATAATAAGAATTGTCTTTCTTAACGGGCATTAAATCTTTAGCGTTATGGTTATCAGTCAAAGTTGTTTCCTCATAATATTTGTATACAAAAGTGAGAAAAATTTCATTTACTCCAAAACTGATTCTTTTATTAGGTATACATATATCGATGAAAATTGTCATTTTTGTTATTTTTCAATATTTGAAGTGACGTTCGTATGATTAAAAGCTTGAGATTGAATGTCATTGTATAATTGAATTATTTTCAAACTTAGAAAAAACTTAGAAAAAATCCTTTATCTTCATTAATCACTAATTACTCAAAGACTACTGACGTCAAGGCTGACGGTCAATTTTCATCAAAAAAAAAAAGATCTATTGAAAGTTTGTTTAAAGAGTCTGTAATTAGCAGAACATCCATTTGACATACCTTGAAAAATATTACTAAAACGCAAATAGCCAATTAATACTTGTCATAATATTACTAATGTAAGAGTATATACATATATATGTAGGTATGTTTAATCGGCTTTTATTTCATAAAAAATTGACATGTTTAATGCATTAAAAGTGTCATCCGGTAAACATTGTACAACATTGATAAGGCGGATTCATTTACACAGTGCAATTTTTATGAGAGCACCCGAATTTGTTTTGTAATGTTAATAAGATAAAATTATTCTCACGATAATTATTCTAATATAGTATACTGTAAAATAACTGTCGAAACGGTAAAATCTATTATTCCGCAAAGCAAATTATCTTAATTTCTGCAGATTATGTAATAAAAAAATGGAGGTAATAAAGCATTCCTGACTTTCATGCAATTATTTTTACATGCGCACTTTTTTGTCTTTTTTCCTGACTCAAGTAGGTTTATTCCGTTTTCTCTCTATGCGAAAATTTTTTGCAAAAATGCTAGAATCTTCTAAGAATAGAATTCCTCTCACGCGTAATTTATGAGCGCTTCTGAATTACTTGAATAAAAAAGTCACGTTTTGCAAAATTTATCTTTCCAACTGCCGCAACGAATTATAAAAGTGAGGCGAAGTACAACGCCGCATTTGACGTCAACATTTTCTCAAGGCTGAAAAATAAGAATCGTATTCGCTACCGGACGAGAGTAAAGACCGCGAGGACAAGCGGGGAGAGCAGCGACAAAGGCTGGGTTTCCGCACGCCTGCGGGAAAATGCGGTTCAGACCACTGGTGCGTTTCCGATCTGCTTCGATCGGTGAAAGGACAGGTGGTTTAACCTTCTGAGGACGGACGTGGCGATAATAAATAAATCATCGAAACTTTACGTATCGCAGATCGAGATCGAGTCGTGTGTCACGCGACTTCAAATCGGGAGTTTGTCGCGCCTACATAATCCGTTCTGTTTGTTTTCATTGCGTACTTGGCGATTTATCTCGAAGTGACAACATTTCAAGACAAAAAAATCGCAACCATAGTGTGTAGTGAATTCTGAATTACTGTTCTTTCTATGATACGGACAGAAAAACAACAAAACTAATTTTATCAAGATTTTCAAACACAAATAATTTTATAAATTTCTATTTCATCAAGCATCTATTTTTACGAAATTATCATATCTTTTTATATTATTATTAAATACGGTCGATATGAGATTAAAAAAGAAAATTTAATTAAAATCATTGCGAGCATGGAGATGCTCTCTCTCTCTCTCTCTCTCTCTCTCTCTCTCTCTCTCTCTCTCTCTCTCTTTTATTTAATATAATTTTAAAAAATCTTTTCTTAAAATTACATATATACACGTTTCTTATATTTCAATCCGTGCTTTAGTTATTCGACTACGACGATATTCTAAAATTTAATATTCAAAACAAACACTTTAGATCTCCTCTTTTTTGTATTTGTAATTGTCTGTATGTATTTGTAATTTGGCATACATAGTAAACATCGCACTTGACAAACTCATCGACGACTATCAATTATATAATATAAAGAAATATGATTCTAAACGGCTTCTATATTTCCTAGTTTTGCAACAAGCGTTACGCGTGTTGCTTAAATCATACACTTAAATGGCGTTGCTCAAGCAATAAATATAGTCGTTTATCTCGAACGATATCCATAATAATCGTCGATAGGCTCTTATATAATAATGTCAATTTAACTATATCGACACTATTTTTCTCTACCACAAAGCATCATCATTAATTTTGTAACGTGACAGAATAATATAAAGCATTATACTATAGTCACAAACGACTTCACTTTAACAAGATTGAGGTAAGACAACGGTGACAAGAAGTACTGCTTTTGATTTCAGATGGCACAATTAATAGAAATGATTTACGATGGTTACCGAGACCTGATGTACAACAAGAGCGACCCGAGAGTCAACGATTGGCCGATGATGAGCGGCCCGTTCCCCACACTGGCGATCTGCTTGTTCTACGCCTATTTCGTTAAGGTCTTGGGACCAAAACTCATGGAGAATCGAAAGCCCTTCGATCTCAGAAGAGTGATGATATGGTACAATCTCTTTCAAGTAATATTCTCCTCGTGGTTGTTCAACGAGGTAAGTTTTGCCTTATAGTACGAGCCTGTGCTCACGCATACAGAGAGAAAAAAAGGCTCATCGAGATATTTTATCTTTTCTCTCGTGTTTTGCAGAGCGTGGTCGCAGGCTGGGGAGGACGATACTCCTTCAGGTGTCAGCCGGTCGATTACTCAAACGATCCGATCTCGCTGCGAATGGCACGAGGTTGCTGGTGGTATTACATCTCAAAGTTCGTCGAGTTCACGGACACAATCTTCTTTGTGTTGAGGAAAAAGAACGATCACATTAGCACTCTCCATGTCATCCATCACGGCTGCATGCCCATGTCCGTGTGGTTCGGAGTTAAATTTACCCCCGGTAAGCATGCAGTTCTCCTTGTGGACAATCGATTAAGATTAAATCTTTTTGAAATTCGAGTTTATGTATATAGAATCTTATTATTGTCGATATACAAAAAAAATCACATTTTATTTTGCATATAAAGAATATAAATTTAAATTCAGAGCAAGATAATTATTTAATTATAAAAAGCTTTTACTCTCTTTCACTGTTTAATCTATTTAAAATATGCTTTTTGTTTTCTTTGATAGTAACACATTCAATATGTAGTCTTGGATTTTTCCTATGCATCAATTAGCATAATAGATTTTTCAGGAAGTATTATATATTCAATTCTGCCGATAAGATTGGCAAGACGTAGCCTTTCCGTAACTAATTGGTGATCCTTATTTCATGCAGGTGGCCAAAGCACCTTCTTCGGTTTTCTGAACACCTTCGTACACATCGTGATGTATTCGTACTACCTCCTCGCGGCGCTCGGGCCGCAAATACAGCCATACCTGTGGTGGAAGAAATACCTGACCACTTTACAAATGGTCCAGTTCATTCTTGTCTTCATCCACGCGTTCCAATTACTTTTCATCGATTGCAACTATCCAAAGGTCTTCGTCTGGTGGATCGGCATGCACTCCATAATGTTCTACTTCCTCTTCCGCAACTTCTACAACGAAGCGTACAAGAAGAAGAATCTGAAGAACGCGAGCAAGCAGAAGAATGACAAGAAGGAGCGGAGTGTGCCCAAGGACGATGTCAAAAAGAACGGCAACGCGAAGGGCGTGATATACGCGAACCAGTACAAAATGGCCACTGGTTACATCTCGGACAGCGGCCTCAGGAATCGCGTGTTTATCGATAATCGAGGTTTCAATGAATAATCAACAAAGAAACCTCCGATTCAAAGGAGACTTCAATGTGTCGAGCATACATTCGACTGCAAATCATCATCATTTAGAGCACTCTGCCACGTTGTACCATAGCCGTTAGCTTCGCAAAGTGTGATCGATTAAAAAGCAGTCCGGTAAATAGACAGGAGACGTTAAAAGTAATGGGAAATAAAAGGAAAAACGCGTTAATCGGAATTTCTAAAAGTCTCGTCTTACAATTAGTGGCATATCCCAATCAAAACAATATATAGGTCACGATAATCAAAATGATGTTAAGGTGAATCGTGATTGCCGAAAAGTGAATTCTAATAATCACTTTAAAGTCGATTCGCCGTCGTTTTGATGTCGTGACTATTTGTTTCGCCTGGGATTCCTTCTAGATGCTTCGCGGTGGTGTATGTGGTTTTACGTGTATAAAAGATCGCACTTTCCGTATATGTATATTACATATATGTATGAACGGATGTATGATTGTGTATATATTGTATGTATATACACTTGTGTATATACGATAATTTGCGTGCATTTTGCTAATTTGTCGAGGAGCGAAAACAGACTGGATGAACTGCTGTAATGAAATTGCCAAAATGACAAAATATGTTATTCTTCCCAGTTAGGATACCAGTAGAAGTCGAAACGCATCCTTCTACAGATTGCCCTTTCCCGAAAGAGGTGACTTTTAAAGAGGTGGTTTTTATGAATATTTATAGACCGCGCTCGTAAGGATTAATTCCGTGTTTGCTCATGTCTTCCTCTTTCAAAAATAGAATAGTAACGAACTCTTGCCGTATTTCGTATCAAGAGGATAAAGAAAATACAATATTTATTTTGTATGAGTAAGAATATTTAGCGAAATTATGATTACTATTTCGAAGCGTTATTGACGTGAAACAGTCAAAGTTTCCAAAGCATATCTAAACGCAAAAAGGTTGCTGCAAATTGCCTAGATGACGATAATATAACACAAAATTCCAATAAGGCATAGACAGACAATTTATTAATTAAAAGTATGAATTTATATATTTACTGTTTGGAACTAGTATTTATTTATTATAGAACTAGTATTAATTTGCAGCAATAAATTTTTTTTAATTATTGAAGAATATTTTATTTTCATCTACAATCCTATTCTCTCAGAGAGCACATTTCGTTTTTATTTTAGATATTCTAATATTTCTTCTACTTTAAATATACTTATTGTGATAAAATACATATGTACATATATATACACACATATGTATATATATATATATATAGACATATTTTGATTTTAGAATTAACTATGTATATTAACGTCAATCTTTCATACATAAGAAACGTTTAATATAAAAACTAAAATTTTCCATTATTATATTTATAAAATAAAATAATAGAATAAGATGAGTACAATATGTTCAACAAATTATAAACGTTTCTCTCAAACTCTCCCAAAAATTTTTACGGCTTCCTTTCATCAATAAAATATAAAAATTTATAGCCGTTATTTGAACGAATTCGTCAATATAAAATCATTTGAGTTTTGAAAAATAATATCTATTTTTAAATATCTTTTCACCAAAATAAAATTTTAATAATGAAAAAATTATTTATTTTAAGATAAAAAGTCACATTCTTTAGATTAAACAATTTTTTTATACATTCCATATAAATATTCTATCTACATAAAAATCTTATTAAAACATTATAATATATAATATTGTAATATTGTGTGTGTGTGTGTGTGTGTGTGTGTGTGTGTGTGTGTGTATAATTTTATAAATGAAAGAGAAATCTAGACTATCTCACTCTTCCATTTATATTAACGTGTGCGTTTATACATGTTATGTTTTTTAGTTCCTATTGGCAAAGTGACAATTGAGTTTGTATTAAGAATTATATGTATAAAAATCGGTAAATGCTCAGTTGAATTTTGTAACAATTCCTCATAAAAATTATACAGTTATACAATAAAAATTTACCCATCGTGTCTTACAAAAAAATTTGATTAATTTTGTAAAAATTAAACGCTCACAAATAATTTGTATTTTTGTGACATAAGTTTAAGCATGTTTGTATCAATTAAAAGTGTACTGTTAATTTAACTAAAAATTATGATACTAATCTTGTTTTTTTACCTCATTTTATTTCTGTATTAAACTTATTTTTTGTATATAGGAGGGTTAACCCTAGATATACCCCAGCGAAATTTTCTCAGTTTGGCATTTTTGAAATTGGAAGGGGAGGGGTTTGGGATATTGCCGTAAAAAAAGTTTGAGATCTCCTCAATAGGAAGACGTGTTGACGCGCGTTCGTGCTGGAGATCGACCGATCAAATGAAAGTGCACGCGAGTAAATCAATAACGTATTTTTTAGTTGAAACAAAAAGAGGCATGCATCTGTTATTACATATGTCAGCGAATTAATAATATACGTGAAAAATCAAACAATTAACATTAATTAGAGCGAAAGTTTCAAGTACAAAAAATGAAACATTTCATACTATCTCGCGAAACGCCGAAAAATAAAAAGTTGAAAATTCGCCATTTTCGCTGCTTGCAGTTTTGTTAAAAAAATTAAAATATCGGATCGCCAAATTTTTTTGTTACTATTTGAAGTATGTCCTTTCAGAATTTTCAAGGATTTTTCAAAGCGGTTTATAAACAAAAGAGATATGATTTTTTGAAAAAAAAAGGTGCTAAATCGAGATTTTTTTTCGCGTTTTTGAACTTTTCTTTTTCTTTGAACCCGTATATCTCAGAGCTACTTAATTCTATCGACTTTTAAATATTATGAGCTTATTCCTTGGTCAATTCTCTATCAATTGAAAAAAAACATTAATTGAAATATGTCCATTTTACTAGAGTTACAGTAATAAATATGGATGGGGTCCCCGGGACCGCAGTGTGTATACGACGTCGTTAAAAAAACAGTGCGTATACCTAGAGTTAAGAAATGTTCAATAACACAGTGTTACAACAAAAATCTCTCCGAAGTATCGTTACATACAACAATATCGTTTTCCGAAGATTTCTTCCCTAAAACAATGCCGTTGACAGAATTTGCCTAGCACGTCAAGATTTTAAATTAGAATTTAATTTAAATTTAATTTAAATTAAAATGGTAATTTTGCAAAAAGGAAACTAAATAAACTCAATGGCATCTGAAAGTATAATTCAAGCGTCATCAAACAAACTTTGGTTCATAATTATACAATTTTTTTTCATCAAGTTATGATTATTTAACTTTTAGACTGTTTGTAAAATGTACAAAAAAGATAAAACGTACTTATACATGATGTGTGTGAGTGTGTGTCTGTTTTTTTTTATGAAGAGTCAGAGTACATATGCTATTATACTTTATTTAAAGTAATGGAATTATTGATTTCAAAGCACTTCTCAAGCAACTTTTATTAAGTCTATATCCGTGAGCTACGCCGACACGGAATGTTAACAGAAAGTCTAAGGTCCGAGCAGCCATAACTTGATAAAAAAAAGTCGTATAATCATGAACCAAAGTTCGGTTAAAGTTCGTACGGTTATAAATACGATTAATAAAGTTCGACAGCCATAACTTGATGAAAAAAAGCCGTACGATCATAAACTAAAGTTCATTTAAAAACTTTTGAATTATACTTTTAGACGCCGTTGAGTTTATTTAAAAACCAATTTCCTTTTTGCCACAAAAAATGTTTAAATTGACCAAAAACGATCCTTTCATTCCAATTTATTCAAAATTCTGACGTGCTAGGCAAATTCTGCCAACGGCATCGTTCAGCGCAAAAAGATCTTCGTATTATCGCACTTCAGAAAGAAGGTAACATATACTATATATATAATTCTTCAATTTAAAACAATAATCAAGAAATATTAAATCAGGCAATAATATTAATAATTTTATAATATTTACCTTTAAATATTATTTATATTTAAAATAAATATTAGAATAATTATATAGAATTATATAGAATAATTAATTATATTAAAATAAATATTAATTATACAGAATTATATAGAATAATTCATACATTAAAATAAATATTAGAATAATTAAAATTTAATTATGCAAGGAAATTAACAGAAATAAACTAATAAAAAATAACCGATTAGAGAACTTCTATTTGTAAATAGCCCACGCCATCTTTGACTAATTTAAAATATTCTTAGGCATCGAATTACTGCTGATATTTTTAAAAACTTTTCTTTTTGATCATCTGTAGATCAAGTTAAATCAACTGTAGCTCGCACAAAAATAAAGCAAATTATAAATTTCATATGTACCAACATCAGGTAACGAATTAATGTTAAAGAGACTGACACATTGCTGCAGATAATAGAAAATATTGTATATCTTCCAGAAAAATAATTGATCTAATATTATTATTTTTCTATTGTCAATTTATCATTTTATATTAAAGTAAAAATTAAAAATTGACAATTATTTCTTCATTGTGATAATCTTCTTATTTTAAAATACAAAATATGTTTGAATACAATTATAAATATTAACTAAGCAGCTTAGACAAAAAATTCCCGCACAGTACGAATATCCAAAATTAAGACATAAGGCGTCTTAATGATATCTTTTAAAAAGTTTTACATCCTGATTTTGGATGTGCATGCTATCTCGGAATTTTCTGTCTAAGCTGCTTAATCTGCTTAGTCTGGAATTTTTTACTGAGATTTTGTTGAATCTCTTTTTATTTCAATTTCTGAAAAGAAAACAGATGAAATTACATCTCAATTATACAATTAATTTTAATTAATATTTATGAAATTCTATAAAATAAAAATTGATTTTTTTAAAATTTGTTCGCATTCTCATTGTCAGTTGTATATAGTATCGTGGAGACTTCATTGTGTACGCGCACACTAGTAATTAATTTTAAATATGTTTTAAATTTATAATATAGTTTATTAGTCTATTTTAAATTTTCGCATTTAATCTATAGTTAAAATTTTGGAGAGATATTCAAGGTTAATTCTTAATTATATAAGGGAATGTTTAACGCAAAACTTATTAATGATACATATGTAAACCCAATCCAATAGTAATTATTATCTAAGCTAAATTTCACAACAATTACTAACAGATAAACTAATACAGTACCAATAATATGTTACAGAAAGAGTATGTAATTAATGCTGAAGTCAGAATGCTGTTTGTATATATATACGAATGTTCAGAAGTACGTACATCAGCTGATTAACGGTAAAAAAAAATAACTGGTTTTTAAAGTCGTTGGACGAGCGGGGCAATTCGGTGATCATTCCGGATCGCAGTATAACCGAATTCTCGCTCGAAACAGGGACAGCCTAATCGCGCGCACCTCTCCTGAGAATGGACGAAATAGACGGTGCTAATTTTCAATGGTGAAAGTACACGAATGGTGAAAGTCTCGCAAGACGCGACTTAAAACAGCCACCGAGTGTGTATGTAACCGGCCGCGTTCCGTATAAATAACTCATATGCATCGGTGTATATGTATATACGAGATGCCTCATCCGTAGATCGAGTTTTTGCCGCGCGGTGCATTCCGGTGCGTTAACGACAATAAATCGCTGTTGTGCCCAAAAAAGCACGCGGATCCGTTGCACGACAAAAATATGGAAGTCATTAAGCTCATAAAGTCATTAATATCATTAAACAATTAAGCTTTAATTATAAGCAAATATTACACAAATAAAATTATTGGGAAAGTATGCAATCTTGTTGCACAAAATTAAGATATATACATATATTGAGTATTGATTTCAGCAATTTTTTATAACAATTATCACTTGTTACAGGTGCGTTTTAATCTTGACAGTGATTGTAAAAGCATAAGTACCTGTAAATTAAATTCGTATCGCGTAAAAAAAAATAATTAAATTTTGCGAACCGTAACAAATGGTAGCCTAATAATGCCATATTATAAACACGTGTAATGTAGTAATCCTACTTTTCTCAGATTTCTAAAAAAAAATTTAATCTCGTCAATTTATAATGATTTTTATAACATTCAAAAGAATATAGAAAGCATGAACAAAAAACTCTAATCTAAATAAAAATTAGATAGCGAAGAAAAAGTAGAAGAAAGAAAAGAACTTCTCAGATAAAAATTTATCTTCATCGGAATAAATTTTGTTTTTATAAAAGGTACATGCGTATATCCTATTTTTACATTTTAGAAAAAATACACCTGTCGCCATCATTGAAATAGAAGCACATCACAAAAAGTAATTCTAGAAATGTATTTACGATATCAAACGGAAAACTAGCACATTTATGCTAACTTCAATTTCTCGATGTTATGAGTTCGTAAATGTTATAAATGCTACATAACTATTCATATTGTCAAACTATATAAATCAACTTTACATTGACAAGACTTTATTGAGTTTTATATATAGTAATATAGATAGACAAACGGTATTGTAATACATATAGATATATAGGTAAAAATAATAACGCACTTTTTGTGTTTACGAAGTATTTACAAAGTTTAGTGTTTCCTGAACTTTCGTG